GAATGGAGGTAGGAGAATCTCCCCCAGTTAACAAGGTTCTCTGTGCCACAGACAAATCTAATCCTGTGCTTTGAGTGGTTTCCGGGTGAGGGAAGTGATGTTTGTCCTGGCACCCAGGCTTGGGCTAGGAATTGTTTTTGAATCTGGACAGGATAAAACAGACTGGGATTTGTCTGTTTTTGTTTGATTCCTCTTTTTTTTTGAGGGCCCCAGGGAAGGACTTGTCTCCCTTTTCCTGTCAAGGGGGTTTCATTTTTATGATATTTGGAGCAACGTTGGATAGCCCAGTGGTGTCCCTCTTCACAGTGAGAGCATGTAGTGGTAGGAGCCTGTTTGGAATTTCCCTGATCTCCAGGTGAGGAAGAATTAGAATTTATATTTTTAGGCACTTTGTAATCTTTTCTTCAGTGTCCCGAATTTCTGCACATAACACTTTTTGTTTTACTTTTACCAGTAGAAAACTTCATCATAGCTTGAGCTATCATATCAGATTTGTGAGTCTCAGGGCCAATATCCTGGCATGCCCTAATATAAGCCCTTAGATCACTGGAAGTCCAGACCAGATTTAAGCCTATTTGCAATCTTGATTAGCATTACAGTAAGCCAATTGTAAGATCAAAATATCTTGGGGCCAGGATTTAGCTCAGTGGTTCCACTGTCTGCCTTGCAAGCCCAAGGACCCGAGTTTGATCCCCGGTACCAAAAAATAATAATAATAATAGAATAAAATATCTGCTGTCTCAGTATGAGGAACCTGTCAGCACCCAGTCTCCTGAAGTCTAACCACAAATTGAATACATAACTCTGTGGGTCCCTGTAACATATGTAAAAAGGACTGAGTTAGAACTCATCCTCTGCACAGAAGACCATGCTATCCTCATGGCATCCCCTATCTGGGGATACCCTCATTTGGATACCCTAGCTGCCTATTCAAATGCACACAGGTCCCTGTCCTGGACATGTCCTCTTCTATACCTGGGTGATACTCTTCCCTATTTTTATGAGCTTGTTCTGAGACCTCATTTCTAAATCTTATGTCAAATTGTAAATACTGAGCTGGAGAATGAACACTTACCTGCTCTCCCTCGGAGTACTCATCTGGTTGAATTCCCACCTGGAAACAAGCAGGCCCACCAAAACTTTCACCCCTCAACGCAGCTTTTTGACACTGAGATAATTTACTTTTTTGCTTGATGTTATCTATATGGCCACCCATGGATGGTGGCAGTGAAGGCAGCAAGGGAAATTCTCCCTCAGCCCCCTCCTCTGAGAAAGGAGAAACAGGAGCTGCAGGGGAAGTTTCTCTCACTGCTTCAGTGACTGCAGCAGCTGCTGCTGTCATTTTCACTTTCTCTGGCACTAAAAGTACTGATTGCACAGGGTGTAGGGGATCAAGAACAGACTGGACCAAATTCCAAGTAGCAAAGGTTTCTGGGGAGATGATCTCTCCCTTCCCATGGGCTTGCTTAAGACTTTTTCCCTCTTGTTCCCAGAGTTCAATATCTACCCTCCCCACCTGAGAAAACCAAGGATTACGTATAACTATTTCCTGTAACATTTTGGATAGGGAGCTAGCTGGCACTTGGGCTCCTGATTGTTTAAGCAAAACCTGAAGTAAATGGACATACCTGCACTCTTCAGTTGACAAATTATGCCCTACTTCAGATCCCGGTTAATAGAAAATTTCTTTTTGTGGCAGCAACACTTACCAATCCTGTGCCTGAGCAACCATCCTCGAAATCTGTTCTGTGAAATTCCATCACTGCTGCACAGCCCACAGCTCTCAATCCACTCTTGGTGGTCCTTGTACCTACTCTGCTAAAAGGAAAGTCCCTGTTCTGGGCACCAGTTATCGGGGACCCCCAGTGAAGCCTCCTACCTCGGATTGGCTACGTGGGGTGAAATGAAGACAAAGATAAATTGTAAATGAAGTGAGGCCTGGGAAGTCAGCTTCTAGTGAGCAAAGGCCCTGAACCTCCAGGCTTGCCAATATTTACTAAGCACAAAGCAGCAAGAGGGGCATATAGTCAGATACGTGGGGTAATGATCAGAGGTACTAACGAGAGTAAGGCCTAGCATGAACAGAGCAAAGCATTCTTGCAAGAAGTGAATCTTAAATTAATGGGAACTTGTTTTTTCCCTTAGATTAATATTAATTTTTTGTAGAGGATGAGCAAGAATCATGGGGTCTTCAGCCACAGATGCTATCAGCTAATACAGGTACCACAGTGTTGTAGACCTGGGCTGGTCTCAGCTGACCGTGGCCAGCGGCACGTGGTGTTCTCTTTCTGCATGCCAGCTGCAGCCACTAAGCTGTGCACTTAAGCCTCAGACCAGCTCTGAATTGTAAGTATAAGCCAATTGACAAATGGCCTGCCCAACACCAGTTTAAGGTAGTCTCCTTCAGGTAGGAATTGGTGAGAGGACACAGGGCAGCAGTCATGTTTGCAGAAGGTGGGTGGCCGCTCATGGATGTGGACAAGGGGAAGTAAGTGCTATGTCCAAAACCATGACTCCAGGCCGGGGATTTAGCTCAGTGGTTCCACAGCCTGCCTGCTAAGTGCAAGGTCCCAAGTTTGATCCGCGTACCAAAAAACAAACAAACAAAATCATGACTCTCCTGGAAAATATTAAATTCCAGGGATTTTTCATGTCTGTATTTCTTGTTTTCACACTTCTACAGTTCCATACAGGGCTTATTTGCAATAAAACTTGATAAATGATATTTTGTACAAAGGTCTTAATTATTTTTTTAATTTATTAAATAGCTATAATCCCAAGCCTGAAAAAAAACTTTTATACTGTAGCTGCAGTTGCTCTTTGAAGCACCACCACCAGGATTATCCCCCTGATAATTACTGAGCAATCTATTTTCACCCATGGACCTGGCACCTATAATAAGAATCCCTGCCTGCCTGTTTATTTTCTGGCTAATTTGGTCCCCTTATGTGACTCGCAACGACCCATATGCAATATGAGAGTTATCCTACTAGAACTTCCTTTAGAGATGCACCACAAGTAACGCATCAGTTTTTAAATCCAACCAGAGTGAATCCATATCCCAGTCTCTGGAAATCATAGAATGCTGTTTTACAGAGGTTACTGGAGTTTTTTGATCTTTGCCATTCTATGTATGGAAGTGCCTCACCCAAGTACATCCTTTTTGTAGCAGATGTTTATGGAGTCAGAGAAACACCAAAAACTTGTCCTCGCTGTTTAGCTCATACTTATTAACAGTTTGGTACAGGCCAGGGTGTTTAGTCTTACTGCAAACCCTAGGAGATTTTTGTGCTGGTTCTGCAAATGAGGAGTCTGCAACACAGAGACGTTGGTAACACATGCAAAGCCACATAGCTCCTGTATACCACAAGCAGAATTGAGATCACATCTGACCACTCCAGAGCCTGAAAGTGTCCAACTACCTGGGCTGCATCTCCGCGACATGTTGCTCTGACCTCTTATTCAAGAAGAGTTTTTCCAATATGTGTAATTCCTAGATAGCTCTCATAAGATCTCACTCCTTTTGGCATTTTATACTCTGCTCATAAAACCTTCTCTTGTAAAAAAGGAAAAGTAATTATTCAAAAAATATGATTCATATATTCGTCACATTAAGTCATGTAAGATTTTTTCACCTCTTCCACGAATTAACAGCTCCAAACAGACTATAGCATTGCATCCACTAAAGTCTACCATAAGGCAAGAAGTTCACAGGAGAAGGAAATCATAACTACTTTGGAAAAATCTCAGCTGGCTTTATTGGAATGGGCTTACAAAGTCCAATTTCTAACCTCCAGCTTCTTTCATTAGTGCTTATTGACCAGTTTGGGGAGGATCAAGACAAGGGCAAAGCAAGGGTAGAATAGGCCATAAGCTAATTGCAAAGGACAGAGCTAAAGAAACATATGTACTTCCCTAGAGCACCCAATAGTAGGACTGAAAATGGACTGATTAGTATTTCAGTAGATATTAAAACAGATAACATGTGAATATGCTAAAACAAATTTAAGGTCAAGCAATTTAGAGTGTTAAGCAGTGAGTTCTCCTACCACCCTCCAAGGCAGCCTCTGTGACCTGGTTCTTAAGCTCCTGTGAAAGAGATTCTGTGTGTTTATAATGCTGGGCAACTTAGGCCACCTAGCCCACTCAGAGGTGGTGGGTAGCAAAACTGGGAAAAGGAGATTTCAGTGCCAGCTAAGTGCTCCAAAGCCACTGAACTCCCAGGCAACCACCCTGTTCCTCCATGGGTGCACAGGGTCACCTAGTGCACTCAGAGGAGCACTGGAGAACAAGCCAGGCCCCCATCGTGAACAGCTCACTCCACAGCTTTGTAGGCAGTACCCACCTTCTAGGGATAATCAAATGTGTGGTGGACATAAAAGGGGGACCAGGAGACGTCCTAGAAAATCCCAAGGAGATCTGAAGCAACCCCTCCCCCAGGCAGGATGGCCCCGCTGGGGGGGGGGGGGCTTCGTGGCTGTGAGGCTGAGGTAGGCGCTGTCCCCTGAGGTTCAGGCCAGTGCCTGGTGGTGGCAAGGAAAAAAGCTTTTCCATATTTGCCTTCCTAAAAACCACTCTCTGCATCGCATCACTGAGTAGCACCCAGCTGGTGTTTATCCTAAGGGCACCAAATGCAGTTATTTATCTCTCTATTGCGTGATATATTTTATAAAGTAATGAATGGTCCATTAAACTAAGTTTGGGCGTCTGTCTCCTCACAGCCACTTCCTCGCGGGCATCCTCAGACGGGGAGGCTGTCGGCCTGGGCTGCAGCCTTTCAGCCTCCACCCCCTCCCTCTGCCACAGCCCCTTTCCCCTCCCTTTCCCTCCCCCCTCCCCTTGGTTATTTGGGAGATTAGAGTTCATTAATTAAATCCTGTGCTTAGATCGAACTGTAACATTATTCCAATCACATTTATCTTGCAGGCGGCGGAGGAGATGGCAGCCTCTCTGGAAACGCGCGGGGGAGCCTGAGCCGGCGGTCGAGACGCACGGCGCGGCGCGCTCCATCGCCACGGCGCCGCGCAGACCCTCCATCTTCCAGCTCGGCTCGGCCGCTCGCCCCGGCCCTGGGGTCGCGCTTCTCTCGGGACTCCTGCCCGCCCCCAGCCCCGGGCCTCCGCCGCTCTGCTGCCTGGATCTCCCTCCCCCGCCACACACACTCACACGCGTCCGCGAGCGCACACGCGCGCGCGCACACACACACACACTCACACTCACGCTCAAACTGACACGCCAGCGAGCCGCTGGCCGCTCAATGGACCGATTTCCCCGGGTTCCCTGATCCCAGTCCAGCCCGGGATGAGAAATTGCAAAATGGCCCGGGTCGCCAGTGTGCTGGGGCTGGTCATGCTCAGCGTCGCCTTGCTGATTTTATCGCTCATCAGCTACGTGTCCCTGAAAAAGGAGAACATCTTCACCACTCCCAAGTACGCCAACCCAGGGGCGCCCCGAATGTACATGTTCCACGCGGGATTCCGGTAAGTGTGGGCCTCGGTGGAGCGCCCTCAGTATCTGTCTGCTGTGTGCTGTGTCAGGGAACGAAAGAGGGATGTTCGGGCTGCTCCAAGACACTTTGGGCCAGATAACTGCGTGTTTCTTCCATTCGTGTCTCGAGTCCCCCTCCTCCTCCCCCCCCCCTTTTTTTTTAACCCAGAGCCCCTAAAAGCCGTGGTCCGGATTGGTATGGTTGCATTTCTTGTATTCTTCCTCAGCGTCCCTTCCCCCATTTCAAAAATGGGGGAGGGTTTTAGGAGAATAACGGGGAAGGGAGAGTCAGTGGAAGGGGGAGTGAGCTGAGAGATGGACAGGCGAGAGTTGAGCGCCCTCCCCGCCCGAGGTCCGCAGGCTCGGAGGCCGGGCTCCGGGCAGTACTAGGCGATTTAATGGCGCACGCGCCGACTCCCCTCGCACCCTCCCCTTCTCCTCCCTCCTCCCCGTCGAAGGCCGCGCGGGCTGCTTCCCTGGAAGCCCCTAGGGCGTTCTCCCTGGACCTCCCCCTCCCCGCCGCCAGCCCCCTTTCCGGGATTTCTGCACTTGCCCGCCCGGGCGGGAAGCGAGCCCCCAAGGACTGCATACCCTCGCCCAGTTCGAAGTCACCGCTCGGCGCGGGCTGCACGCGGGAGGCGCCAGGGCAGCTTGATACAGCTCAGCCAGAGCCCCCGCCCAACCTACGCCCCACGGAGCTCTCCCAGCAGCCCCCCCGCACCGGCGGGTGGCAAATGCAAACTGCAACCCGAGGTCGCGGGCGGGCCAGAGGTGCGCAGTCTGAAGACGCCCCGCCTGGGTGGCCGGGCGGAGCTGGGGCTGCCTCCCGGGGTCCCCAAGCGAGGCTTGAGGAGTGAAATCAGACACGGGGTCGGTTAGGAAGAGGTTAAGGCCGAAGCCACCCCCAGCCTTCCCCTTGAGTCTCCAGTTTCCTCTGCCCTTTTCCCAAAAATCAATTCCTCCGGGCGGCGGGGGGGTGCGGGGGCGGCGGGGGCGGCGCGTGCGGCGGGAGCCGCTGTCCGCGGTGCTGACTCCGGTCCTGGATGCGCGGTCGGCTCCCGCCCCTGTCCGCTGCGCGACGGCCATTTTATGGTCTCTCCCGCACTGGGAGGGTGGACAATGAAGATGAGTTTCACTAGTTTTCTTTCTTTCTCCTGAGTGTATGTAAGAGCAGAGGGTGGACGAAGTGAGAGGGCCTCTGGGGCGGGATGGAGCCTGTGAGTGTCCCTGCTGCCCCCTCACCCCTCGCCTCCAGCAGGGTGGACTTTAATGGCTACCTCGCCGGCACATTTGTCTGTACTCGTGCTCCTCTCCAGGTCACAGTTTGCGCTGAAGTTTCTAGACCCGTCATTTGTGCCCATTACGAATTCTCTCACCCAGGAACTCCACGAGAAACCTTCTAAGTGGACATTTAATCGGACAGCGTTTTTGCATCAAAGGTAGGATAGGAGGAAAACATCCGAAAGGTCTTTTGGAATTTGGGAGCTCAAAAATCAAAACCAACAAATCCAAAACAACAAAAATATACCCCCCATGTATTTGTATTGTCTTCCTGGCCTAACTACACAAGGCCGTGATTGGTGTTAACACTCTCAAATGTGTGTGATGCCCTCTGAAAAGGCAAATGTTAGGATGACGATTTTGAATGGCAAAAAAAGATATATTCCCAATGTGTTCCCTAATTTGGGTTTAATTGAGCACTACCGTATATAGTTAATAAGTTTGGCTAAGACTACCAAAGCTGCCTATTTTTTAAAATGTTAATTGCAAAAAGACTACCCAATACATTTTAATTTTTCTCATACACACACACACAAACTGTATTATCCCATTGAAACACACAGAAAATACCATAATCTAGCTCCTTCAAATTACTAGTAAAGATATGGGCCTAAATATATGCAGGTATTTATGATTTTGTTTTGGTTCTGGTTGTTTTCATTAATCTTTTACATCTTATAGCATATTATAAAGCTATCTAATACCATACATCATTCTTATGAGTTGTGGCAGCCTTGTTTTATACATGAAGAAGTTTTTCTTAATGTTTTGTTTTTATGTGGGGGAAAGAATGATGAAATTTATTCAAATTTAATTACTCTCATAGGTGATTCTGATCTACTGTTAGAGCCACAGAAAAATTCTTACTCATTCCTTTTTGGTGGGATTATTGTGTTGCAAAATGGAACGTGAGCCATCTAGTGTATTCATTAGGGGTGTGAGTACTTATTTTACAAACCACTCTACTTAAGGAGTTATGTTTAGGGCATAGCATTTCTAGTTATTGCTCCTTTTTAAAAAATTATAATGTCCTGACAGAATTAAAACAAATCCAGTGGATATCCATAGTGTCAGGGAAATATTGTTTACTTGAAAATTTGACATGCAGTCATGATTATCATTACAGTTTTTAAAATATTTGTTTACATTCATGAAAATTGATTAATTCTAAACTCAAGAACTGCTTTTTTAAACTTCTGGATTTTTAATCCAATGTTAATTTTATAGATGACTCAAAAATTTTTGAAGAGTAGAACACATTATACCTTCCCCAAAACATTTCTAGCTCAATGAAAGTATTCTTCACACACCCTGACCCTAATGACCAATCCAATCAGAAGAACATTTCCTTCTCAAAAGTTCCCTTTCATACATTTATTAGGTAATCTTTAATTAATTTTTGCCAGTATCATTTTAAACCTGTCTCTCATTTACAACAGCTAGTAAAAACAATACTGATAACTTTGGATTGATAATGTCAGTTTATGTTCCTCTACACAGTATGTTGAATAATAAAGTCATTTTTTAAAAAATAAAAGTCCAAACAAAGTTTTGATATGACAAACATTTTGTTTTATTCCTGCTGTTTTTAGGCAAACAGCACAGGAGTTTCTATGTCATTTCTTAGCAGTGGAGAATCTAACAGCAAAGTAACATGTTATTGGCCTCTTAAATATTTTAAGTAGCTGAGACTGTAAGAGGAGACACTTAATTTTATTTAAAGCTCAATATGATGCCAACCTGAAGTTAATTCTTAGTCTCACTCTTGCCTTGATTATTCTGTGTTGTTAGAACCTAACATATTTTCAGGTTTACAATAGCCTCTTTTTCTAAGGATTAGATATGTCCCACTAAATTTTGCCTTTGTATAATCGAGCAGAAAAAATACTCTTGTTTCATTATTCAAAGGGTCTTAATGAGATTATCATCTCATTTCTATTAAATATTCAGCTACACCCACTACTATTCCCATTTTCATATTTTAATAATAGTGCTGTATTGACTCGTGTATATTTGGCTCTTATTTGAACACCAGTGATAGTGGATATTCTTGAACACTGCAGTCCAGTAGCAAACAAGTAGTCCCTAGTTACAAACTCCAAGTCACCAAAATTTGTGCATTAATATGAGCTCTTTGGGGCCTGTGTAAATTGTCTGCCTATATTCTGTGTCACAGTTTGACATATGCCTCATTTTGGATCAAATGTACTCCTCAAATAGAGCAGAAAACCACGAAATGGTAGCTAAAACTGTAAGTTTCACTTGCAAACCTCAAAGGATTACATTCAGAACTGAAAGATTAGAACCTGTCCATACATTCTGAAGCAATCTTCCCTTCAAAGACCACAATTATGAATGTATAATCTTTCTTGGATTTAATGTGCTTAAGATTCTTGTCTGAATGAAATGGCAGCATAAGACAAGATGGAAACTCGATTCTTTTGAATGGAATGCATTTAATGAATTTCTTTTTATTTTAGGCAAGAAATTCTTCAGCATGTCGATGTAATAAAAAATTTTTCTTTGACCAAGAATAGTGTTCGGATCGGACAACTGATGCACTATGATTATTCCAGCCATAAATATGTTTTCTCTATTAGCAATAACTTCCGATCACTGCTTCCAGATGTGTCACCCATTATGAATAAGCATTACAATATTTGTGCTGTGGTTGGAAATAGTGGGATCCTGACAGGGAGCCAGTGTGGACAAGAAATAGATAAATCAGATTTTGTTTTTCGTTGCAATTTTGCCCCTACGGAGGCTTTCCAAAGAGATGTTGGAAGGAAAACCAACCTTACCACCTTCAACCCCAGCATTCTGGAAAAATATTACAACAATCTTTTGACCATTCAGGATCGTAACAACTTTTTTCTCAGTTTAAAAAAGCTTGATGGGGCCATTCTTTGGATCCCTGCATTTTTTTTCCACACTTCAGCAACTGTTACCAGAACATTAGTTGACTTTTTTGTTGAACACCGAGGTCAGTTAAAAGTCCAGTTGGCTTGGCCTGGAAATATAATGCAGCATGTCAACAGGTGTGTATATTTTATTCCATTTAACTCATACCCCACCAGATGCCAAATTAATATTGTAGTCTTGGGGGCGGGAACCACCAATTAATTAGTTATTGTGATCAGTTTAGTACTTTAGAGCAAACTACGATCTTTTGTAATGAATGGATGAATCATCTGAGCTTCAAAGTTTAACCTACCCTCTAGAAAGTAGGCAAGTGCCAAATGGAGAGATTAGTATTTCATAGGTCTCCCCTATTGTCCTCCTTGTGCCCTTCTTGGTGGTAAACTTACTAAACAGTCATGGAAGCCATCACAAATCAAGAAATTTCCTTTAAATAAATACCTGTATCCAAATAATGCCAATAGCTAAATTACACCAAGCAAATTATATTTTTAAAGAAGATGCAGTTGACTTAAAATTAACTCTTTTATTTTAAGTTTAGATATTTTGTAGATGTCAAACATTAGCAAACCACCAAATAAATCACAAACTGTGTAGTCTGTCTTTATAATTTGATATTTGAATGCAAAAACTTGTGAAAAGTATTGTATAATTTCCTTGTTATTCTTTATGACTTTGATACACTGACCAGTGATGCCATATTTTCATCTAATCTCATGATTTTCAAGTCTTGTTGTACAGAAGAATCACTTGGGGTTTGGTAATACAGCTCAGTGGTAGAGCGCCTGCCTAGCATACATAAAGACATGAAGCCCTGGGTTCAATATCTAATGCAAAAAAAAAAAATCACTTGGAGAACTTTAAAAAATACTGGTGCTGGGCCAGGGATTTAGCTCAGTGGAGTCGCCACCTGACTCACAACCACAAGGTCCTGAGTTCAATCCCCAGTACCACACACACACACACACACACACACACACACACACACACAAATACTGATGCCTGGGCTCTGTTTTAAGCAGTCTAATATAATTTTTCTAATGGAAAAGGAAGTGAGGACTAGTGGTGTTTTTAATAACTCGTCAGGTGGTTCTAATGTGGCTTCAGAATTGAAAGCCACTAGCCAGGGTATTTTATAAAGCGAGATCAGTTGTAGTATTTTTTTTCTTTAAGTCATCTGACTAAACTACTTCAATTCTAAATTCCCCTATGTAAGAAACCCCAGCCCTAACAGAGCCCCAGATGTTGTCATAATTTAGGGTAGCTTCTGGAAGACCTGGTAACCAGGGAAACCTAAAGATTTTCATTACACAATAGATTATTCCCATTCTGTGATCCCCTGAAGTCCTCTAAGTTTAAGATCTGTTTAGTTGACCTCTCATTAAAGGAGGCGTCATAGTCTGATAAACTGATCTGACTCCAATATATACGGTGATTCCATTAATTTGTAAATTAAAATTATATGTTATGATTTATTATTATTTTAAATTTATATTAAGAAGTAATAGAGTCAAGCAAAGTACAGGGAGCAGGAGCTATTTATGTAAAGTCACTGCCCAAAGTGGAAAGAACCAGAATTGGAAGCCATGTCTTCTGTCAACCTGTCCCTTGTCTTTGGACTTCATCACTTGATTCCCCTGTTGTTCAATTTCAGTAAACGTTTAGATTTCGTTTGGAAGGGGGAAAGCCACTAGGACTGTGCTGTGAGGTGGATTTGTCAAAGTAATTGGAATAGTCTAGAGTCCAGACATATCCAACCTTTTGATTTGTCGGGGCCACACTGAGTAAAGAGGAATTGTTTTGGGCCACATATAAAATATATAATATAGCTAATGTATACAAGTAATAAAACTTCCTTTTAAAATATTTGTTGTTATACCATTTTAAAAAGAGAGAGAGCCGGGCGTGGTGGCACATGCCTATAATCCCAGCACTCAGGAGGCTGAGGCAGGAGACCCTGTCTCAAAAAACCAAAGAGAGAGACCAAGCCTGCTGCAGGGTGCAGGTTGGACAGACTCTTAGACAAATCCACCTCCCATCCCAGTCCTGTTGACCTATCAGATTGAAACCTTCAACACTGGCCTCTGAATCCACATGTACTTGTTGTTCCACAGGTACTGGAAAAACAAACATTTGTCACCCAAACGGCTGAGCACAGGTATTCTTATGTACACCCTTGCATCAGCAATATGTGAAGAGATCCACTTGTATGGATTTTGGCCTTTTGGATTTGACCCCAACACAAGGGAAGATCTTCCATACCATTACTATGACAAAAAAGGAACCAAATTTACCACCAAGTGGCAGGAGTCCCACCAGCTGCCTGCTGAGTTTCAGCTGCTGTATCGAATGCATGGGGAAGGGCTGACCAAACTGACTCTGTCACACTGTGCCTAAGAACTCCGAATGGGAAGTGCCCGATGGCTGTTTAAAGAAGTGCCCCAAATCAAACTGAATAGTCTTCTACCTAGAACCCCAGAGACTGTCTTATAAGGCTTGTCTGCCACTTAAATGAAAAGATGTCTTCTTTTGCACTGCTCTTTGAATGGTCTTAGCCAATTTTGCAGGACAGATGCACTGAAACTATGTGATTTAAACCTGATTGATGAAGGGAATGTTGCATTCGGAAGTATGCTGCTAACAAAATGGTTTGAAGTATTTCCGTGTTTGTATTTTAATAATAAACTGCTCCTGTGTCAATGAGGACAAGAACTATAGTTTTCTACAGCTCTGCTGAAGTATAGTCCTCATAATCACAGGCCTCTGGCCAATTGGGGCAGGATCTGTTTAGCCAGTGGGAGCAAACTCTTCAGAATGAAAACAAAAACCCCCTCTTCTCTTCTCTTTTCTTTTCTCCCCCTTCTTCCTCCTCCTCCTCCTCCTCTCTCTTTCTCTCTCTTCCTCCCTCTTCTTTCTATCATGTCTCTTCCTCTCCATGCAGCCATGTCCCTTGCCCCATCACCATGGAGTTTAATAATTTGCTAGGAATCTTATTGAATTAGCTTTGCTTGTATGTTTGCCTCTGTATTTGATGTGTTAAAGGCTGTAGGTCACTTTGATATTTCATGACAAACTGAGCAAATCATGTTGAATCCCCACATGATTAATTTTATAAGAAATGCCTCTTATAAAGTCCTCACTTGTCCATATGGTCATTCAGCAGAAGGGTGGTCCCACTGGGGTGAGTGGAATACAATGCAGTGCATCTTTCACTATCTTAAAGAAACCCTGTGGCATGGATGGCATTGCATATCTTGGCATGAGTACAATCATGGCAGACAGTATCACTGTGGCCTCATCTGCAAGGGCCTTCTAGCCTACCTCTGATGGTCCCAGTCCAAGCACTGGGCTGGGTATCCTCTCAGAATATAGAGGCAATGAGTCAGCTGAATAGCCTGTGACACATACAGGAAAATAAAGAATACTTTAAGAGTGGTTATGGAATCCTGTACACTGCAGAGCTGTAACCATGTTACCTGATCAGAGCCTTGGAGAACCAGCAGGGTTGGAGTGAAAGAGAAAGCCTGAAGTTGGCCAAGCACCCACCATGTGAATAATGCTGGAGTGAGATTGTCTCAGTACGGTGCCCTCCACCACCAGTCCAGAACTGCTTGTTCACTTTGAGACAGTTTTAAACACTAGATAATCCCAATCCACTGAAATCAGATCTATATTCCTATAAATTAAGCATTTCCAAAGGGAAAAGCCATTGTACAAAATAGCCCTTGAAATTTGAGATTATGTAGACTTGTCATGAAGGAGTTAGCCAGCCATTCTCCTTTTCATTATTTCAGCCTTCAAAGTAGAAATCACATCACTCCTATCCTTAGATTTTTACTGAGCACACTTTGTTCTTCCAGTTCAGCCCAAAGTCTGGCCAAGTTGATGTTAAATTTTAATAAGAATTTCTTTTCTGTTTCCAAATGCCAGTCAAACACATTTGTTTTATGTTTGAGTGGGATACCTCATTGTTTGCCAGAAACTTCATCTAAACTGCTTGCATGTGACAAATATGGTTAAAACTAATTGCTGTTGCTCACTCATCAGCACATTACCCCTCTTTGAAAAGATATAATCATGCCTAAAATTAAACAAAATACAATAAGCAGAGACAGCCATGTTCTGCCTGGTCCTAAAGATGAATTGTTCTTTTCAGGAAGATAATCAGAGCAGCTTTCATAGATCCAGATATTAACTAGTGAAAGAAAAACCACTCAGGTCATCCCCAGTGGTGACACATCTTACAGTATCATGTGAATATCAGTTATCCCAATAGATGCAAAAAAAATAGGAATAGACATTTCAACATAGGAAATAAAAACCAACTCTATGTCTCAAATAACTATAAGGCCAGATATATAAAAGGTTTTAAAATTCAATGGTGCAACTTTATGGGCATCAAAACCAAATCATGTTTCTTCCTTAGTTGTCACTTTAAAGAGGTTGAAAGAGGTCATTGAAGCCGTACTACCATTCTCGCTATGCTTGGTTAATGTTGTGAGATTTATAACTGACTGAAGTATGTAGCCGGCTGTCCCTAAGCACTTAGTTCATTTGGTTATAGCTAAGTGATACTAATGCCAGTATTACCCAGGCCAGATACTGACTCTGGGGTTTTAGTCCTAATGTGCCCAGTATTTTTTTAGTGAATGCAGATGAATAGACACTTTGATGTAGGAGATTAAAGGCATAAAAGACCAGAATCCCTAAAACCAGTACATTGTTCCAAAGTGGACTATTTAAATTTGAATCTCATCCCAGTGCCAAATTTCTTGTTTTTTAAGTTCAGAAATATTTTTAAAAGTTTAATGCACACTTGCTCTATCTTTACCTTAGAATGGGAAGACTTTCTCACCCCACCCCACTATCATCTCAACTATAAATTTGAGAGGAACTCAAAATAGTAGGGAAATGGACTTTTCTCCAGAGCTAGAAAGGCTTAGAGGTCACCTCATCCCTACTTTTAGGCAGGATTTCTTGATGCTGATCCCAAAAGACCACTCTTCTCTTTTTTAAAAAATTTTCCAAAGAAAATTCCAAGCCCTCCTAAACTTCTTCTTTCACAGCCTAGATCCCTTTATTGCAAAATACTTGTAATTTGTTAGTAAAGCATTTATCCCATTTTTCAGCACATAGTAAGTGCTCAACAGGGGCATCTTTTACTGTTAGATTATTTTCATTTTTGGTTATCATATACCTACAGTTCCAGCCTAGAAAAAAAGCAGCCACTAGCTAATCATACAAGATCCCCTTTTGTTGTTAAAGACTGGTTTAAAGATTAAAGCTATATGACCACCATCATGATCAAAAAATTTAGTGGGTCCCACGTGTCCTGATCAGAAGGCAGTGGTGTCAGTAACCAGAGCTTGCTGGCTGTCCCTTGTCTCCCAGACTTGTATAGTCAAGAGTAGTGAAGTGGCCAGAGGGGGTCTCCCACATTATTCAGCTACAGATACACACCCCTGGTTTTGCACTGCCTTTACTTTGGTGGTTCTAGGCTAAATACATTATTTTGTCAGAAACCTTTCCTCTTTTTAAATATTTCTAGCAGAGTCTACCTCCAGCTACAGGAATAAATTTCACCATCAATCCCTCAAGGCTATCTGTACATGACACCACTGCAAATGACCAATTAAGTTGCACAGGAGAAAAAAAACCCCACAAACATTTGGCAACCTGCTTAATACTAGATCCACAGTTTTCACCAGTTAGTTGTTCTGTGTCATGTGCAGATATGTAGATCCTGGGAGACAGGATTAAAAGGTGATCTCGAGAATTCCTCCTCCCACGCCTATATTTGATGATTAAAACATATATGGTTCCTCCACCTTGTGTCTGTGTCTTAGATGTCCTTGACCATTATTATAGAAGTGTCTTTAATAGCAGTATGTGCCCAACATTGCTGTCTGTGGTCACTGTACCATCTGTCTGCAATCTTGATATCAGACACCTGACCATGGGGCTCCCGGCAAGGACAGCCCCCCCCAAGAATGCTCCCTCCCAGTCTTCTTGTGCACAGACTATCAGCTGGCCATGAATGTGAGTGCCACTTGGTGGGGCAAATTGAGGAATGGAAGAATATTTCTTCTAACTTTGGTCAAGGCACTAAGTGTTAGACACTCTCAGGCAATAATGCATTATTGTCCTGAGGCCCATGGAAAAAGGAACATTGTCAAGTGCTAGGACACAGGAAAGAGAAGTCTTTGAGTTTCTCCAGTCCTAATTATTGACACAAATGAGAAAATGGACATACAAAGGGGACAAATGATTTGCCCATTGCAGGGCAATTAGTGAGAAATTCTGACTCTTCATCTTGACTTCGTCAGTATCAAGTGAAGGGAAAGAGGTTTTGGTCTGGGGTCCTTTGGGTACAAAAAAAGAAAGCTTGTGAAAGACGAAGAAAAGAAAAATATTTCTCAACACAAAACAATAAAGAAGATGCTTGCATAGGTATATAACAGTCCACTGATAATGACCCATGTTTTCCCCAGAAATGAAGGAAAACCCTCTTAGTAAATCACCATTTGATAAATCAATTTAGTTATTGATGGTTCACAGTTGACAAAAATCTTATCCAATAATCTATCTTAATAAAACTCTGTTTTAGTAATATGTATGCATAAGTTAGAAGCTGAAGGTTGAAAATAGTTATAGACTTTTCCTTATGTATAATTTTCAGCAGGGGCCCCTTGAGTTAAGAAATCCTTTCTGTATTATGCATAATTTCAATGGCACACTTTAAAGTACTACATTTAGTTCAACATGCTAAGAAGATGTACAAGTAATAATCACTTTGGTGAGACTTCCTTTCTTCAAAATGATAAACTGAGCAATTTCCTGTATAACTCTAGATCGTAAATCCTTTTATCATATAATTATTTGTGCCCACAAGGCAAAGGTTTCTTCTTAGCTTCTACTCCTTCCTGAATGTGTACAGTGGGGGTTTTGCTTACTAACAGAGTTGGGGCTGTGTACATGTGGCTGAAGAGTCCAAATGAGACACCCCAGGATCTGAGGATCTGGGCACCTTAGCTGGCTGTTTGACCTGTCTGGATTCTGTGGCCCAATAAATCAAAGCCACAGATGAGTTGATGCCCAGGACCAAAATAACTAATTATGTCTCCCTCACACTCTGACTGCTTTGCCACCTAAATATAACATTTGAAATGGGAAACATCTTAGAATGTCATTATTGAAGTATGCAGTATTTCTGAACATTTATTTTTATTGTGGTAATTTATTGAAAATATGTATTTGAATAGATACTTTATGCTCTATGAAGCTCATTCTCTTGTTATTGATTACAGTGGAATTACAGTGAAGAGCTTGTTGTGGAATAACTGACTTCAGCTTAAGATTACATTTGGGTTCTGGATTAGGACCTGATTTATGCCACTGATTCATCAGCAAAAAAAAAAAAGTATGAAATTAGGACTCTTCAAAATACAATTCTTTCTCCTCCCTCCAAATCTTTAACTTGCAGTGTCTTGGGATAAACCCAGCTTACAAAGAGTCATGGGTGATTCTGTTGTTTCCAGCACTTGGAAACCCATAATATTAATATCTTGCATAGTCACATACACCATTCTGACCAGAGTAGCTGAATGTATATCATCCAGTTAGTATAAAATGTTCAAGTTATTATGATATATGGCAGTGTAGACACAGTCTTAGTGGCTCGAACAGTCATCTCTTGGCCGGACTGACCCTTGGTTAATCCATAAGTGAGGAGTAATTAGTCAATCTAGTCAGAATGGATGCAAGCTCAAGGGCTAAGCTAGGAACATGGCTTTAATATGCATAACTCCAAAGTCAGCTCTTAATTTCTTTTTCTGTATTTCAAATGAAGGGGCTAATCATAGGACATTCATGTTTATAAATAGATAGACTGAGAAATAGAGAAATTAAATGATTTATTCAGATTCAATTTGGGAGTCATTCCCAGAGCCTGAAATAAAATACTCCTCAAGGAGTCTGATTTCTCAGTCTCTAAGTCATGTCCCAAATAAGAGATCTCCAACTAAAATGAAACTAATCAAAAAAGGAAATTCAAAGGGCTAAAATTCCCAGACGAACCCAGCATAAGTGAGGTGATCAGTTCCTACTAGCTGCCTCATTCTGTTGGAGAAGGTGTGAGCATCTTAATGAAGTTTTTGCCAGGCTTCTTTCTGTATATGTGCACATACCAAGCCTTTACTCTTCAGAAGAACCAAATGACTCCTTTGATTTCCCTTCTATGTGATTCAGTAACAGTTTTAGCTCTTTGATACACTGCTAAGTGTTAAACAACTAACTAGCACAGGAGAACTGTCATTTACCAATTTCTGTGGTGTAAATACTCTCATCATAGCCAGTTTCAAGCCACTAACTTAATTTTAACCAGCTGAAAATACAACAGTGTTTTCAAGAGCCAGTATAAGCTGGCTTCACAATGAGCCTCCTGGAGCACAGCACTGCCTGAACAATTTTCAAGTCAGGGAGTAGCAAATAGAAGAGGCTAGCATTGGCTTTGGAGGGACACCCAAGTGCCCCTTTCCCACAGGGGAGCATTTGCCACCTTGGACAGTTTCACCAATTTTTAGTGAAAGACTATTATTTGGGCTGAGGTTGTATCTCAAGTGTTTGAGCACTTGCCTAACAGGGGTGAAATCTGGTGAAACTCCTCAGCACCACACACAAAAAACTTCACATAGATATAGATTTAGATGTAGATTATATATAGATATAGATATAGATGATATAGATTTTAGACTACCACCCTAAAGGGTTCAAAATATATCCTAGCCATTTGCTGTCGGGAACCTCTCAACAGCTTCCTCAGTACCTTAGATTATCAGCAGTGGTTTTTCTAATTTCAGAGTGACCTTCCAAGTACATAAATAATCTCTAATTTAACTGCCAGTTGAAACCATTTTTGGCTGATTTTTTTTCCAGTACTAAGGATGGAACCCCAGAGCCTTCACACTGAGCCACATACCCATCCAGTTTTTTGTTTTTTTTTTTTTTTTTTAGATAGGGTCTTTCTGAACCATTAAGTTGCCGGGGCTGAACTCCTGAGCTCAAACTTGCCATCTTTCTGCCTCAGTCTCCTAGAGTGTTGAAACTACAATCTTGTATCACCATGCACAACTTCTTCTATCTTTTTAATCCTATAGCCCATTGCCTGGCTCCTCAATTCTGTAGTTTGCCCTATCCACTTGCTCGACTTCCTTCTGACAAAGCATAAAATTCAGAGGCATCCATAAAACAGGCCTACAATGGCACAGGGGAAAAACAAGACACTTCTTCAGTTTAGCTGGTCCCATGTACCTGTAGAAGCTCTGTGATTTGTCTGTACCCCACCAAGGGGCACTCAGCTGAGCATCATTACTGGAATCTGCATATGCACATGGCGGTCTATTTCCTTAGAGAAGTCATTAATGATAAAAAAAAAAAATTACTACTGAGCTGGAACACCTCTGGGCAACTTGAATGGCTGAGTGGCCACACTGTAGAGCAAGTTGTCAGACAATGCTTTGCACTTAGCTAAACTAATATAAAGCTGTATCTGAAAAAAAAAAATCTACCCACAATCATGTGGCCATCCAGTCCTCTGGCACTGAGCAAGAGAGCTGCTGTCCTCCCTCACCACTGGTCATGAGTGGACCATTACTAAGTGTTTAGAATTCACACACCCTGGCAATACACAGAATGTGCTTGCAAATTAAAAATTTTTCTGATGGAAATCATTCTGAAGTGGGTATAATTAAATCTTGTGGAAGGCAGTGCTGGGGAAAAATACTTAATTCCTCAGACACAGTGATTGGACATAGGTGTTTGTTCTGCATTAGTGAACCAAAATTAGATCATGAAGGACCAAATCTACTTTCCTTGCTGTAGTAAAATATCTTGCAGGTTTTATAAGGCATTTCTACACTGTAAATGTTTAAAACTCAAGTTGGAGATTTTTTTATACAGTATTATGTTTAAAAGACTAGGGCATACCTCTGTTTTCTGTTCTTAACAATCATTGAAATTAGCTTGTTTTTCTATACTGAGCAAGCACATTTTGCTTTAAATAAATCAGGTATATATTTGAGTGTTTTTCTCTGTTTCCAAAGAGTTTTGTGTAGCTTGGGTACAAAGTACACTTTTGTTCTCTGGCTCTTCCTGATGCCAAAGAGATAAGCCCATAGCTACAGGCACAAGAGACTTGGCAGGTAGGAAATTTCCAGCAAAACCAGCCTTGTGGAACTAGCCATGACCATACTTTTAGCTAGGAAGATAGGGATGAAAAATTGGTAGACAATAAGAAAGAAGTTTGGTCAACATATATAGGTGGAATGAAGTCATTAGGGCACTTACAAAATGGAGGGAGAGGTTTCCCTTGAAATACAAAATCTAGACCATTTTGTAAAACTTAGAGAAAGTGTACTTCACATTAGAACTGCTGTTCAACCACATTGCAAGATCAGATCTGTAGATAAGCAGCCTTACAGCAAGACCCCTAAGAAGGATTCATGATGGGCTGGGACTCAATCACCAAGCATCAGTCATTAGCACTGAAATTCTCCCAGGACACAGGAAAAACACACTGAAGAATCACAACACAGGATTATTTAATCATCTGGGATGGTCACCTAAGTCCATATCAGAACTTCACTATCTCATTACCACAGGTCTTGGTTTTAGATCAACATCCCCCCTGCAGAGATGAGGCTCAGAAGGTCAAAGTGACATCTCTGCTCAATTGGAATTAGAATCTGGGTCTCCCAACCACTGATTCCATATCATACCATTCTGCTTCTATTCTTTAGGTAGGAAGTTGACATTCCATTGTGAAAGCATAAATTAGAAGTAAAGACAAGGGCCAAGGATTTAACTCAGTGGTTCTGCTGCCTGCCTCGAAAGTGCAAGGTCCTGAGTTCGATCCCCGGTACCAAAAAAAAAAAAGAAAGAAAAATAGAAGTAAAAACAAAAGAATACTTGTGATATTTTCTCTCATTTTACCTACTGTGGTTTCACCATTTCATTTTAGTATCATGTTAAAGAATATTAGTGTAAAAAGAAGAGCAAAGCTCTGTGTGGAGTAAATGAAACCAAGAGATCAAAAGGCGGGAGAACAGTGAATGTGAGTAACTAAAGATGAGCAAAAAGAATGTGTCAGGGAAAAGAAATGCCTCTTATGTTATTACTGTGGAATCCTCCCTCCACCACAGTTGACCCATTTGTTTGAAAAAATGCATCTTATGCTGAGAGACTTGTAATGAAGACTTTGGCCCTTCTCAACTGCATCAGAAGTTCCCTTGCTCTTTGGAAGAAGCCCTGGCTCTTATGAATCAGACTCACCTATGTTGTGAGAGGTGGCCTCACCTGCCCTTGGAAACTCAAGTTGCTGCCAGAGGGTGAGGGACACAGACACCTGAAAGAAGCCAGTTCTGCTGGACTGAGGACCATGTAAATATCTTCTGCCTTCTTGGTGAACAAGGATGATCATCTTTCGTAGAGGTAATTGCGTGTATATTGTGACTAGTGTGTGAAGAAACTGCAACAGTTTGCTTTAACAGCTCCCCAAATGTACCTGTTAAGTGTGAATGTGCCTGCCTCATTGCCTCATGTGCCAAACACAGTAATGAATGCATTGTTTTTAAATAAACTGTTTTATTGTGCATTGGAAAAAACTATTGGTTGTCTCTGCCCTGTTTGGAAGACCTTCACATGCACTCTCTCTCTCTCCCTCTCTCTCTCTCCCTCCCTCCCTCCCTCCAGTGAAGAGACTGAGTGCACCCACCATTTTTTTTCAGTGGTGTGAAGGCTTCTCTTGGAGATGTGGAGAAGGTTGGGTCTGGCTGTCTAGAGTCATGAACTAGTATCAAATGCCAAAATCACCCCATGCACCCTTCTCCATAGGGCTTTTATGTGCAAATCATGCAACAAGACTTACCATTAATAATAATAATACATTACTCTTGACTGTTACAGTCATACACATAATTTTATTTAATCGAGACTTTGGTGAGGGAGACATCCTGAGGAACATATCATGCTGCACAGTTAGTAATAGTCAAAGTGGGAACACAGCCTGGCTCTTCGTCCTGCACCTTTGCACCCTTGTAGACTTTCATTGGATCACCTCTTCATAGAGCCTTCCCAGAATGCCATTACAGCCTTTATCCCCCCACTCTGTGTTATTCCTCTCATGTCTCCATTGTCCCTCATCTCTAAAAATAATATTTATTTATTCACTCTTTGTCTCTGTCTTCCACTGTATTACAAGCTCTACCTCATACAACACAAGACCAGGCCCATCTCAGTCATTTTAGGTCCTTAATACCTAGAACAGGAGCCTAGTAGACTAACAATGAATAGTTATAGGATAGATGAATAGACAGATAAATAGATAGGTGGATAGTTGGACAGACACATATCATATAGTGTATCATTCAATTCTTTTTTTCCCTTATCTCCCTCCCATCTTTGTACCTATATAAGACACAAAAAGCCATGCCTCTTCTCTGACCATGCTGCCTCAGCACCATGACCACTACTCAATAAGCACTTGTTGATGGAATACATGAACAGTCCTAGAAATTATTGTTCTCAATATCCGTGCTCCAACATGAAAAATGTCCTGGCATAGTAGTATACTAAAACATATTCTGTTCTTGTCCCTTAAGACTACAATATCAAGCAAAAGGACAAATTAGAATAGGGTAAAAATATCGGAATGACTGAAAAGATCCAACTTCAGTAGGCACAGTTGATCTGAGAGGGCTTGCTCCTCTCTAACTCAAACCAAAAACATTTACTGCTCACTGTGTGTAACACCGGACAGACAGGAACAGTATACCAAATTAGCAAAATCATAATGCCTATCCTGAAGGAATTGAAAGTCTTGTTGAGGAAATTGTTCAACAGATTATAAAAGAATTTCTCATTTGGAACTGTTTAGGGGGTATTGCAAGTGGAGGTGAAGGATGGGGTGGGGGCAGAGAGGGAAATGAGTGGCCGTATGAAATTCTAGAAAAGACAATTTAAAGTATTACAGGTCAGACATAATGCTCAGGGTTTACATTTCTGAAGACTATTTGCCAGGCTAAAGATTCCCCTCCTACCCATTCTCTCCCATCCCACTGCTGAGAGAGAGGTTCTAAAACAAAACACTTCACAAACTAAAACAAAACATGAAATTGTCACCAAGTTTATTGCAGGCCCTCTTTGCCCAGGGCTGATTAGTACAAATTAAATTTTTTAAATAGAATTATTTTCCTAAGAAAATGCATTGCCACAGTTTGATCAAGACAGAGGATTTTTTAAAAGAAACTCCCTTCATAAAAAGACCAACCTGAGTCCAAGGCTGGTTACCAGTAGAGAAGCATGGATTTCTGCTTCATCTGAGCAAGAGTGGGAGCTCCTCCTCTGGCCAGGCTTCTGTGGGGTCCAAAGGTCTGGAGGCGTCTGGCACCAGCCTCAGCTCCGGAGATGGTCCCCAAGTTGAGTGTGTGATTCCTGGTAAGTGGGTTAACTCATGGAAGAAGCTACTCTGATAATTTCTACTACTCAGAGTGTCACAGATGATTAGGAACTGAGAGATTCAATAAATTCATTCTCTCAATTCCAGATGAAGAAACTCAGGCTCAGGAGGACAAAGTAATGTGTCCAAATGTCCTCTCCTACCAGCAACCACTGAAGTACTTCACCAACTTTTACAGGAAGAAAAAGAAAACAAAGTTATTTTTACGTCAACTAGCAATTCTCAACTCTAAGTAATAGTATTTAAGGACAATCTGTTTATTTTACTTATTTGTATTAGAAAAGTATTCACTGACGTAATATTAGAAATATTAGAAAATAGGGATAAAACTTTTCACCTGTTTTCCTGATTGTTTTACATCATACATTCTTTTCCAGTTTCTGCTTTTATCCCCACTTAAACACAGATCAAGAGCACCTTTCCATGTCATTAAATCTTCTACAATAAGCTCAAAGAATGAGTATTCAAGCACAATTTATTTAACCAATTCTCTATTATTGTTTCAAATTTAGATTTTCTGTAATTTTTTATTGTTATAAACAGTACTCTGAAAACCATTTCTTTGTAATTAAATGTTTGATTATTTCCTTAGATAAATCCTTTGAAGTGGATTTTCAAGAGCTTTAAACAACTTTGGTGAGAGGAATATTTTTCAAAGCCAGCCAGGATGTCCTAGTAGAAGTTCCCAGACCAAGTTTTCCAAATCTTTATTTCCCTACAAAACTTGCAAAAAGGTTAGGAGAAAAGCATGCATCATCACTGAGGATGACTTCCTCAACAGAGAAATGAAGCCTTTTTATGTATGAAACTTAGGTACGCAAATAAACTATTGTGTTCTACTTACATTCAGTTACCATATCTCTTGTTTAGGAGGTGGGAGAACTTCACACACTCAAGAGAGAAAGCCCATCCAATCGCAGTCTCATTACTAATCAAATAAAAGGCACTCAGGACCATCTGGGAGAGAGGGACCTTCAATACAATGATAGATAGCTCTTTTTCTTATTTGAAGAGAATGTTTACTGCTTACTCAAGCCAACCAACCTAATAATGCTTCCAATTCACATTAAGTCCAAGAAGTCTAAATAAGGAGGTTAAACCAAACAATCTACCTTAAGGCTACACAAATCCCACAGATCTGTTGTTTTTTGTTGAACCTCTTTTAAATCAATATCTCTACTTCTATAGGAGAGACGTAGCATTAAGCAAATTCAAAATATTAACATATAGATTTTTAAAGGCAAATATTGTTAAGAGTGTACAAAGAAATCACCACAGAATTTCCTACCTACCATTGTCCCTTTTTAAGGTAAATCTGCATTTGTATGAAAAAATCAGCTGATATATTGCTCTCTGTGGACATTACAGTTTCTGTCACAATTACTCCGTTCTGCTGTTGTAGCACAAAAGCAGCCATAAATGATGCACAAATGAATGAGTGTGGCTGTGGTCCAATAAAACTTAATTTATAAAAACAGGCAGCAGCCAGATTTAGCCTGGGGCCATAGTTTGACAACTCCTGCTTTGCACATCAAACTCCTTACTGTATGTAAAATATTCCATTTGACTTTCATTGTATTTGTTTTCGAGGGTAGCTTAAAACATCAAAAATTTTGTGTCTCTAGAGACAAGAAGTCTGAAATCAAGGTATCAGCAAGGTTGATTCCTCTGGGAGCTCTAAGAGATAATCCGTTTCCTGCTTCTCTCTTTCCTTCCAGTAGCTTCCAGAACTGTGACATTCCTTGACTTATAGAGGCATAACTCCAGTCTCTTCCTCCATCTTCTCTAAGGACTCACAGTTGAACTTAGGGCCTACCCCAGTCCAGGATTATCTCATCTCAAGATTCTTACCTTGGTTACATCTGCAGAGACTCTTATTATAAATAGGTCACATTCTGAGTTTTGAGGTAGACATATCTATTGAGTGCCACAATTCAACCTCCTACATCTATTTCCAACATCTTAACACAAAGTAATTCAAGGACACATGGAGTAGAGCCCATAGAACACAATTCTACAATACACAAACCCACATGCATTCTGGGTGTGATTAAAGCCCTTGCAAGGTGACAACAAATTCATCCTACAAAAGCCCAACAGCATTATTGGGTGGTGGAAGTTGTGTCCTCAAATTAATTAGATTTTACAAAGCTCTCCACTGTCTGTGGACAGTAAATGAATGTTCTTCTAACAACAGATTCAGAAACAAATCAAACATTCTCTCCATAATCAACAATTCTAATGACATCTCTAATAGACAAGAACTCATTTCCCACACCAAGGAGCTGCTCAGTGCTGGGGATATTGATCTTGTGTAAGTGAGTTTTCTGGCTGTGATGCATCTACCACACTGAAAGAAAAAACAAGGATGGAGAAAATATGAAAGTTGGCCAACCTATGACATAAAGTGATAAGTTCAGAAGAAATGTCTAAACTGTTTCAGTGGGCACAGATGTTCAACACCTTAAAGATCAATTTAAAACTCATTCTCATCTTTGCGGCACATATCACAGATATATAGATATAGATCTAAACAACTTTAGTCACAAACACTAATGCATCTGATTTAGCTTACAGAAACCTTTGTGACCTAATCAGAAAACCAAGTCCGTTGGGAACAAAAGTGGAAATTTAGTCGGAGATTCTGTTCTCCGACAATGGGACACATTGAATCCATCTTTAACAGTGTATAGAAGATAGCAGCAGAGGCTGATCGAGTGACTTAAAAGAGAAAAAAGTCAGAGTTCAATAGGAAACTAGAAACTAAAGCAGCCACAAGACCAATTACCTCCTCTTGGAAGCACTATGTCCTTCAAAATGGACTGTATATAAAAAACTTTTGTCTTCAAGTGTGTCAAGAGTAGACTGATTGCCTGCACACTACATTTCTAGGAGAAAAAATTGTGTGTCTTTCATGTGGACATCATACATCTGTCCACCCTGGATGTCTAGACAAGGATATGATCTTCTCATGCCAGGGAGCACTATGTGGCTTATCCTTTCTCACTCTGATCCAGCCCAAGGAGAGAGGATTTTCTGTGCAATAGTTCCAGTAAACACTAGGGGAAGGAGAAAGAGTAATGGAAGCGATCAATTTAGTGAGTCCTTGGTATAAAAGGAGGGGGATCTGTTGATCTAGACAGAGTC